AGAGGGGAGAGGGGAGAGGGGAGGGCAGGGGCGAGGAAAAGACGGCGAGAGGAAGGTCTCTGGGCGGCCCCGGTTGGGTCCGACTCCCTCCTCGCAGGATGGGGCTCTGCTCTTCGACGCTCTCGCCGTCCCCTCGGGAGCGCAAACTCCGCCCCAGAGCCGCTGCGCCCGGCCTGACCTCTTCGGCTGCAGGCGCTATCGTGACCGTTTCGGATGTCGGAACCGGAGATTGCGGCTCCCTGCCTCGCCCTCCCTTTCCTTAGCCGGCAGCCCGCCAGGCCGCCCCCGGGAGAGAAGGCATAAGGAGGAGGATCTCCTCGCGCTCAGCCTAGCGTGAGTACTTTTCCACCGCCCCCTTTGGCCAAGCAAACAAACAAACAGCACGTGGCTGGGAACGGGGAGGCTGGCCAGGGGAGGCGCGCGGGGAGCACCTGCTCTGGCCGGCGGAGAGGGCCTTGCACTGCTCGGGCCCAGGCGGACGGAAGCCGGACCCGCTGAGTCTGTGGGGCTGGTCAAGTGAACATCGGGTCGGAAAGGAAAATGGCGCGAGCAATGAACTTTCCTTAAGGCAGGCGCTGCGTGACGGGACTAGCGTGCTGGGGTTTAAACTGGGTAATCCCGCTTCTCATGAAGTGGTAAACCCCGTGGGAGTACATTTCTGCAGCCGTGCAGGTGATAATTACAGATGTACACATTACATTAGCTTGGGGTCGACCTACATCCTCAATTCACTTCGGATAATTCATTCTGCTAAAATGTATTCAGAAGATCGAGTCGAGACAGGATGGTTCCATTCAGTTTTCTGAACCAATTGAGTTAAAAAGCATGTGGATGTGCACAAATCCATATTTTTTCGTGGAATCAAGAATCAGTTCAGAACCATCATCCAAGCTTTGCACAGCCTTAGATATGGCTGAATGCTTTAAAATCTGAGCAAATTAACTTCACTCAGATGAATACAGACAAATGAAATACAGTAGCTGCCAGAAGCAACTGCCAACCAGCTGGAACTGTAAGCCCCTTTCCTTAAATTAATCTAGAGCTCCCACTTTTTTTTTGACTAAGACGACAGGTGGAGGAGGGTGCATGGGTGGCCACAGCAGCACACACAAGTGATTTCCAGCCCAGGGGTGGCTGCTGTGGGGGGGTGGGGTGGGGTGGGGGTAGATTTAACCAAGTGACTTACGACCTTCCCCATTGACTGCTTGTGGGAAGCTGGCAGGAAAGGTCACAAATGATGAACATGTGACTGCAAGGTGCTGCAGCTGTCGTAAGTGTGAGACGGTTACCAAGTGCCCAGATCATGATCATGTGACTGCAGGGGTGGTGCAAGGGTTGGAACTTAGAGGACCAGTCATAAATACCACTCATTCAACACCATCACAACTTTGAATGGTCACTAAAAGAGTGGTCGGTATGCAAGGGCTACCTGTTTCTGTAATGGGCTATGTACTCAGCTACCCATTGACAGTTGTAATGAAAACTTTAGTCAGTTCATCTTTACTCAACAAATAATATGGTTTACATCTTAGCATTAGTCAATGATCTGAGCAGTTTTATCCACATCAAAGATTAACCCTACATGCAAAGAATATATTGGAATTATGAAATGAATGACAAATGCAACAGAAAATAAAACAGTAAATATGTAAGTATGACAAAACCACCCCATAAATGGGTTCTCTGAGAATAAGTTGTCATCTCAACCAGTGAACCTGTAAGCACTTCATATGAATGAAGCCAACAGAGAGACATCTAAAACCACCATGAGTATTTCTGACTGCCCAGGATAATAATGGAAAACTTTCCCCATCAAAGCTGGGTTGTTGGAGAAGTCCGTCAGGATCAACAGGGAAGATTTTCCCCAGTTGATTTCAAGATGGAGATCAATGGAGATAATCACTCTCAATAATGTGTTTGTACCCATTCACTGGATGTGTTCAAGAAGAGGCAAGAGAATTTTTTCAGCAATTAAGCAGTGCAAAAGAGATTGGACTTGATGATGTAATTAGTCTTTGCCAACTCTCTGTTTCTACTATATCCACTCTAAAAGGATTGAAGAAAGAAGTTTGCTTATAAGTTAAATAATTATAAATAAGCTTATAAGAAGAAGAATGCTTATCAGTATGATCAGTAATCAGCCACAACAATTACTTTCCCCCCAAGGGGAGGTTTACACGGAATCGATGGAATCTTGAACAAGACTTGAATCTTTCAGATTCTGTATCTCAATCCCTAATAATGTGTAAATGTGTAAAATACTCTATCGAGTTGTTTTAAAGTTGTACTTTTTTTTAGCAGCTACACTACATTGCTATCTTCAGTTGATATACTAACTATACCCTTTCCTGAACAGGGGTAACCTAGTTACAATTGTTAATATGGCCACCTCATATTTAATAACTGTAGTTACTCCATGTGGGGTGGTTCTTATGCTAGATCCAGAAACTGCAGTTGGCGCAAAGTGTGGCATCCTGATCGCTGGGTGGGACACCCAGCCATACGCATTTATTATTTATTCATCAAATACATATGTCTGCCCATCTATCCAATGAAACTGGGCAGTGAACAGAATAAAATAGTCCACATTTGTTTGTTTTATCTCTTCATGCATTCCACACTTCTCTCTGTAATTGTTTCTGCTTCCACAAACCTGACTAACGGCCTAAAAAAATGTTACAACTTGAGGGTGTGGCTGGTTAGAACTTGAGCCTCACCTTGACAACCACCCATGCTGATGATTTATATTTTGCTTTGCAGGAAGGCAGGCACTCCTTCTGGGTGGCTATATATCTACTGGAAAACTCTGCTCACTTCTGGCTTTATCATTTTTGTCCATCCTTTTATTTGTGATTTAGCCATATAAAATACCCATTACATTGGGGGGAAAACCCTCCAATATTGCAGACAGTGATAGGGTTCTCATAGTGCATTAAGCCTTGGTTTGCTTAACTATTATTTTTTAATTAAATCTCAATTGTCTAGGCTTACTTAAGCCAAAACACCTTAAGCCAAAAATAAATGGCATTATGACTTAACTGAAAAAGGCTTAAACTTTCTGCGAAAGGTTATCAGTCTTTTATTCTGGTAAAATGCCTTGAGTGGCTCCTTGGTTGGCAGAACTTCAGCTGAAATTCCGTGTTGTTCCAGTGCCAAATATCAATGGTGGAGAAGACTTCAGGTCGGAGACCCTGTTCAATAACTTGTAGTGCAAGAAGTTTGTCAGAGAGAAATTGTATTAACCATCAATTGGATTCATTTTAGCCCCGGACTGGAACATTCCATCTGTGCGATACACACCCACTTGGGAATAAATCTCACTAAATTCTATAGTTCTGACTTCAAAATAAAATTGTATAGGATTGCATTGTTAACTGTTCTGTAAATTGCATCAACTCTGACTTCTGCTACTGGAGAAAACAAGCAGATGGTAATGTTTTGTTCTCAGGCAAGTGATTTTTTTGTTTTCACTCAGGACTCTTCACTGACCTTTTTTTTTGAAAGACAACTAGTTTCCGATGCATCTCCAGGTCCTGCAGCTGTTACATTAATGTGGGGATGAAACTGCAGCTGAAAATTCTTGGATTAATTCTGGTGATGTGCCTGTCTTTGATTTCCTGGTGATGGAGGAGCTGTGAAAAGGCTCTTTGCACTCCTTTGCAGAGCTATTTGGCAGTGACAGCACCCGTAGCAGAGCCAAGGAATGCCGCTGACAGATGTGGGCCTATTTCCTGCCTGTAGCCCTTAGTAGGAACCCAATGATGCCAAAGACCAGTAAAGTTCTGACCATGTTTAAGATGGACAAGGCAGTGGCAGATGCCATTCAAGTGTTTGGTCTTTTCATGGGATGAACTTTCAAATTTTTATCCATGAAATTTCAACCCAGTCAACAGAATAAAACAGGCAACTATAATCCCTACAATATCTATGCCACTTCCTTCGTGAAACCTAAATGAAGGATATATCCCACCCTATGCATTGGTCTGAAACGATTTCAGACCAATGGTTATCATGGAGGCCATGAAATTCTGAGTAGGCCCTAATAAGGCAGCCTCAGCATGAATGTTGAAGCCTCCTAGGATCAATTTTATGAAATTTTCCAACATAACACTTGAGACCTCCTCAGCACTCCTTGCTCAGGCAGGCAGGTTGTTGGGTAACAGATTCCTGGTTATCTCACTGCCCCAATCCCTAAAGAGGCTTATAGTCTGTCTACTTCAGAGAGTTTTCTGGTGAACAAAATAATATTCCTACAGACCACAGCAACAGCACACACCCCAGGACCCAGCCTGGGTTGCTGCTGCATTGAGAAACTACAAGGGCACAGCTAGGTCAGATCCAGACCACCCAGCTTACCCACCCAAAGAGAAGGATGAAAATCAGTTGCTTCTTCAGCTTATCCAAAGGTCTTCCAGCTTTTCCTTCTCTCCCTCTCTGTTTTCTTTTCCCTCCCATTTGGTGTTCTTTCCCAATCCTTTTCTTCTCCACATACCTGTTTCTGTCTTGTCTACTGCCATTGACTCATTGTGTTTCTTTCACATAGATGGGCCCTAGTAGACTGTTCCATTGGGGTTTTACATGGTTGCCTCCTAATTTATTTGCCTCCCTAATTGTCACTTTTCCTCATGAAATATTAACGCTGCTCATTGTTCTGGTACTGCGGGTTTCCTTTCCATATCATTTCTTTTGTACAAAAGATAAGAAACTGAATAAGGAGGCACAGCAAGAGGAGAGTAATTTGTTTTGTTTTTAAGAGCCCAATAAATATATTTAGGCATTGTATCATAGGAGAATCTTTGCAAAGCTGTTCAAAACATTTATGTTATGTACATGCTACCAAAGGAGATTTTAAGGATTGCACTATGTTTTTTAAATTTTATTTTAAAAAGCATCATTATTTACATTCCTTTCTTAGCATTGTAGCTGTCAGCTTGACTATTGGTGCTTTTTGATAAAAACTGAGATAGACATCTTTTAAAAAGGGGGTATAAAGTGGTTTATAATTTCTTAAACTAAAAGAAAAAGCAATATTATATTCCAATACTTTACAGTGACAAAGGGTGGATAAATAGCTCTAACAAGGTGATGAGAAAATGCAATTTCCCCAGGGAAAATACAGATATAAACTGCACAACAGGCAAGGGTACAGAGCCAGTGGATATAAGCAGGAGGCACCAGTCTCTGGGCTGATCCCTGGCACACAGATTGTCATCCCAAATATGTGGGTCACAAGTGATTGGGGTTCTGATTCCAACTGCCAATCATCTTCAATACACTGCTACTGAACATACCAGCTCACTGAATCATACTCTACTGGGAAAGATGTAACAGCTGTCTGTGGAAAAATAATGCAATGTAAATCCATCAAAGGTCATTGTGTCCATGCTTAGTGTCTTATTACAAGGAGCAAGATTGACAAAGCAAGTACAGTTTCATTTTCTGAATTAATTCAAGCAAATACAGGGCAGAAAAGAGTAATCATACAGTTTTTTATTGCTATTTTGACCTTATTCCATACAGTTCAAGGCGGTGTATGTGATCTCCTCTGCCTTCTTGGTCCGTAATTTGTAGACAGTTTATTAACAGTACTGGGAAAATGATATTGCCAAATGCTCCTGGCTCACAAACTCCTGGAGGGTGTTTGGCTCAAAGCAGTCCTCTCCAACTTTTGCCCTATATTGGGGAGTCATCGGTTACATTCACATACAGTAACATGTTAAATCAAGAAGCCGTCACTGGATCCCACCATACTGGACAATTTTCATCCGGTCTTTTTAGGGAAGGTGGTTGAGAAGGTGGTATTGTTGCAGCTCCAGAGGATCCTGGAGGAAACAGATTATCTGGACCCTTTTCAGTCAGGTTTCAGGGCTGTATACAGGATGGAAATGGCATTGGTCGCACTCATGGATGATCTCTGGTGGGAGTGGGATGGGGTAGTGCATCCATCTTTGCTCTTCTTGACCTCTCAGTGGCTTTCAATACCATCGACTTGGGGAGTTGGGAGTGGGCGGCACACTTTTGTGCTGGTTCTCTTCCTTCCTCCAAGGTTGATCCCAGTAGGTGTTGATTGGGGGCGAGAGGTCCAGCTCTGTGGGGTGCCCCAGGGTTCGGTACTCTCTCCGCTCCTTTTTAATATCTACGTGAAACTACTGGGTGAGATCATCCGTCACCATGGGATGAAGTATCATCAATATGCTGATGATACCCAGTTATACATCTCCATCCCGGGTGAGGTGAGTGATGCTGTGACCACCTTTTGTGGTGCCTGGAGGCTGTGGGGGTCTGGATGGGGTGCAGCAGGCTTCAGCTGAACCCTGGTAGGAGTGGCTATGGATTGGAGGCCCCTCTGTATCCAAGGATTTACCGTCTTTGGTTTTGGACAGAGTTGCGCTGCCCCAGATGCACCCAGTGTGTAATCTGGGGGTCCTCCTGGACTTATGATTCCAGCTCAAGGAGCAGGTGGCAGTCATGACCAGGAGACCCTTTGCCCACCTTCGTGTGGTGCACCAGTTATGCCCTTTCCTGGATCAGGAGGCTCTCCAGTCAGTCAATCGTGCCCTGGTCATCTCTTGGCTAGACTATTGCAATGCGCTCTACATCGGGCTACCTTTGAAGAGTATCCTGAACCTACAGCTGGTCCAAAATGCAGCCATGTGGATAATTTTGAGTGCTCCAAGAATGGCGCATATAACACCTTTACTACACGAGCTACATTGGGTCCCAGTCTGCTTCCAGGTCCAATTCAAAGTGTTGGTTATCACCTTTAAAGCCCTACATGGCATGGGTCCAGGTTACCTGAGGGACTGTCTTACCTCCGTCACAGCAACCCGTCCCATCTGGTCAGGCAGAGAGGGCATGTTGTGGGTCCTGTTAGCAAGAGAACATCGACTGGTGGGGCCCAGGAGGAGAGCCTTTTCTGCTGTTGCCCCCGCCCTTTGGAGCATTCTCCCCCCAGAGATGCGGCAGGCCCCTACCCTACCAGCCTTCCAGAAAAAATTGAAGACCTGGCTCTGCCAGCTTGCATGGGGGGATAACAACTCTACCCAATCCTGGGGGTGGCTAGCACCTCAATGACACTTCCTCAGTGATCGCCAATTATTTTGGATCTTTTTTTTTCATTTATTACTGTAATTTTGTAATTTTAATTGATTTTAATTGTTTTGTAAACTGCCCAGATTCATTCAGCAAGATGGCAGTGACAAATTCAATAAATAAAATAAATCATACAATATGTGAAACCAGTTAAACCAGTGTTTCTCAACCTCGGCAACTTTAAGATGTGTGGACTTCAACTTCCAGAATTCCCCATGGCTGGCTGGGGAATTCTGGGAATTGAAATCCACACATCTTAAAGTTGCAGAGGTTGAGAAACTCTGTGTTAAACCATATAGGCTCCTCTAACTCATGTAGCATTGGGCTGACAGAGCAAGAATGATAACCCTAGCCAAGCTACAAGGTCACACAATTGAGTCTTCATTGCTTTTCTATTTGCATGTGCTAGATGTTCCCCTAGTTGTTTTTTAATCACACAACAATTAGCTGGCTGATGTAAAAGATTTCCCCAATTTGCCACCCCCTTTATGAAAGGTGAGAAGGTTAGGGCATTTTGCCAATATGGGAGAGGGGCAGAATAAATTAATTGTTAGAAATGATAAGCAGACAAAGGCTGCTTGTATTTTCCTTTAGTTACATAGACTAGCAGACTTTGTAGGCAAGTAAGAAATGGTTCAGAAAAGACACAAAAGGAAGTTATTCCAATAATCAAGGTAATGAACAAATCGCCACCCAGAGTCACTGGTTTGAGATGGGCATGTGCAGAGTACAGCAATGCTCCCAGAAAAACTTTGCCCAGGGAAAAATACACATCAGCATGAGAGGTTTGCAAACTGGAATGTTCATATCTTGTTCTTCAAAGAAACTCAGCCAGAAAATATATACTATCTGGTTGTTTATTGATAAAAATGCAAAACTTCATAAAATACAAGTTGTATACAAAATATAGAAAAAACACATCTTCTCATAAATTCAGCATCCAAGACTTATT